GTCCATCTTGACCGGTCTTAGCCAAGTGGTAAACGTGACAACTGTACAGGACAGAAATCTGTTGCAGGTTCGAAACCTGCTCCACAATCTGTTTCCTTTTATTACGCCTTGAACATTCACTCATGGATGGATCCTTCAAAGTCCATCTTAAGCAGTCATAGCCAACTGTTGAACTGGCACCATAACGGATTCAAAACCTGCCGACAAATGTCTTATCACACCTTGGCGCCTTGGCATTCAATTCACTCACGATCATGGACAGTTCTTCGGAGGTTGATCTCAACTTAGGACTCGGAAGCGTACTAGCCAAAGTGATTACCACCACAGAATCGAAATCTGTTTCTTTTGGACTGCGCAAGTCCGACTCCGACCGAGACCTACCGACAACAATTTTTTGCTGTCTTGGAACACACCTTGATATTCTCTCATGGATAGTTTCGTCAGAAGTTCATTCAAGTTCTAACAGGTCTTAGCCAAGTGGTTGCCACAGCAGAATCGAACTCTGTTTCTCTGGGACAATGCAGGTTCGAAACTTGCCGATCAATAGGTTTTTTTTCTATCCGAACATGCCCATGATGAAGATTCGTTCATGGATGGTTTCCTCGGAGGTTCATCTCAACTTCGTCCTGACTCCTGGCTGCAAATGGTCACCATAACAGAATCTAAATCTGTCTCTTGGGCTGTGCCAGTGCCGGTCGAAACTTGTTGATGACAAGTTTTTTTTTTGCTATTAGAACATGCCTTGAAGATTCACTCACGGATGATTGCCTTGGAGGTCCATCTTGACTGATCTTATAGTCAGGTGGTTTCCACAACAGAATCAAAATCTGCTGTATCATAACAAGGGTTTTTTCCCTATCGGAACACACTTCGACTTTGACTCATGGATGGTTTTTTTGGATATCATCCCAGGTGGTCTTAGCCAAGTGGTTAATCTGACAGAATCGAAATCTGTTTTAATTAGACTGTGCAGGTTCGAAACTTGCTGAATGACAAGTCTTTTTTATCGGAGGACACCTTGACATTGACTCGTGGATGGTTTCCTCAGAGGTTTATCTCAATGGTCTTAACCCTGTGGTTACCACAACAGAGTCAAGATCTGTTCCTCCTGGAGTCGGTTCGAAACCTACTGACAATATTTTTGCGGTATATAGATCCTTGGAGGTCCATCTCAACTAGGTCCAGTCATTGCGTCGAAACCTTTCTTTTATGTGATGGTCTGTCCATGAAAAGGAATTTATTTTCATACCCCGCGATGGCTTCAGCTCTGCCGAGAAGTTATACACCATTCATACGCTGTAGGTGCATTAAGCTTGTTCGCTGTTCATTCACTGTAAGTTATTCTTGTTCATCACTCGATTTCTTGCTGCACTCACAATCTCATCTGACCAAGTGAAACCGACCTTCACGAGTTGATTGTGTTACGAGTCTTACGACCAATGCACCATTCTTGAAATATGCATTACCTAAGCTTTCCGGTTCACTAAAATGATGTAGACTTGGCGGTGGCCCTTCATCGGACAAACCTCTCAGAGAAAAGGAAAGTCACAGTGCTCAAGCATCTTGCGACTACTGATAAATCTAACCCTCTAAAGTGTGCTTTTCGAGAGTTATATCCATTTCAATCATTTGTCAGAACCTATTGAAATGCACTCAGCAATATTTTAATAGCGTCATTCTACTCCATGGTTTTGTGCCGAGTTAGCAAATGGCGTCGGTTCAGCAATTCTCATCAGTCATCATTAGGCCTGGGACGACCAGGGACAACCGCTTTTCTCAGCAACGCTTGCTACACTAACATCATGATTGGCACTGACGACCTGCCGTCGACGTTGTATTCATAATGGGCGATCATCTCTACGTCAATGAACCATGTGTAAACGAATTGTAAATTCCTGCTACCTGGGATCATAGACGAACCTCTTGTCACATTTTGTGCAGAAGTCGAATCCTTGCACTCGTGATGACTCGGACCGTGACTATCTCGTCATCGCCTTTTCCGGGAGGAATGTTTTATACGTGGCTGAGGTGTCCAACGTTCGCGCTCGCCAGCGTATATATAATGGGCCACTGGGTATGATATTATCTTCCAGTAAGCCATGTTCCCTGCTGCATCCTTGTTGACAATTTTCCTCCTGGCATTGTCTATTGCGGCATCGCCTGTTGAAATTCGCGACTCCCCCATCACCCTCCCCATTGCCAGGAGGCTAAACGTCTTCGATAGTACTACTAATTTCTTGCAGTACGATAAAGCTCGCGTGGCTGCCCTTAAGGACGGCCGTCAAATTAGTAGCACTTCTGTGACAAACGAAGTTACAAGCTACATCGCAGCAGTTGGCGTTGGCAGCCCCCCCACAACCTGTGAGTTCAACACTGAGAAAATATGCGGCTGCTAATGTATTATTGAAGACAACTTGATTGTCGACACCGGTAGCTCGAACACATGGGTTGGTGCCGGCACTGCGTACGTGAAGACCAGTACTAGCGTCAACACTGGTCAGCCTGTGGCAGTCGGCTATGGTTCTGGCTCCTTCTCTGGTATGACATACAACGATATCATGAGTTGAAAATACCTACGATTATCTATAGGAACTGAGTACACCGACACCGACACTCTCGGGAGTGGGCTCACCATCACCGAGCAGTCGATTGGTGTTGCTTCTACTTCGTTGGGCTTCACCGGTGTTGACGGTATCCTTGGCATCGGGCCCGTAGACTTGACCGAGGGTACCTTGACGAATTCGCCGACAGCGACGATCCCGACTATCACTGACAACCTGGACAGCCAAGGCACCATTTCTCAGAAAGTTGTTAGTGTCTTTTTCGGGCCCACCACTTCGCAGACAATCACCAATGGAGAGCTCACCTTCGGTGGAACTGATGCTGCCAAGTACACCGGCGATATTGGATACACGTAAGCTATCTCGGCTCCTCGATCAATCCAAACTGATAGTAATTGTTTTGTTTCAGTCCTTCCACCACCACCAACCCTGCATCGACCTATTGGGGTATCGACCAGAGCATCACCTACGGCTCCACGACGATCTTGTCCTCCACTGCTGGCATCGTCGATACTGGCACCACCCTCCTTTACATTGCCACCGGTATGTATCTAGAGTGCAGCGAGTGATCATGGTCTAATCAGCGTTCGATAGATGCCTACACCAAATACCAGTCTGAAACCGGCGCTACTGTGGATGGGACGACTGGTCTTCTCCTCGTTTCTTCTGCCCAGTACAGTGCACTCAAGAACCTGAACTTCAATATTGGCAGCGTACGCCATTTCTGTCAGCCCTTACACCCCTTGTTCACCATTTTACACAGAATACCTACACTCTCACCCCTAACGCCCAAATCTGGCCTCGTTCTCTCAACACCAATCTTGGCGGTAGTAGCACAGCTATATATCTCATCATTACCGACATTGGCACGAACAGTGGCACAGGGTTTGACTTTATTAACGGCTACACGTTCCTCGAGCGCTTCTACTCTGTGTTCGATACCACCAACTCCCGTGTCGGTTTTGCCACAACCTCGTACACTGATGCCACCACTAACTAACATGGAATTGCAAGTACACAAAGGATCGTTTTTCAGATGCAAAGCAGCATACGGATTTGAAGGTTGTATTAATAAGTAGGCTATGGAGGTCTTATTCCTCGGTCATGATTAGATTATAACAATAGCATCACATCTGGTTAGGATGCGTGAAATCCCCTCAGTTTAGAGTCATGCTTCTGTACTGCTATGTAAGTACCCGACATACATCCCTGAGCATGCCATGATCTTCTTCCGCAGCTCCTAGAAGCATCACTCTCCCACAATGTAAAAATAGTTTATCAGCTTCTCCTGCCAGTGGCGGACGGGTGTGCGGACATGACCCAAAGGCGATGCGATGTCAGATTAACAAGCGGTTTGGTCAATATCCTCAACACCGCTACCACCCGCACGACCACAGTTATCACATATTGTGAGGGACACTGACGGGCTGTCGCAGATACAATCGAGGGCAGCAGAGTGCACATGGAGTGGACGGTAAGACCTTTTAAATGTTTACAGAGCAGTTATGTGGTGTCAAGAGCGATTTTACGTTGTCGTCACGCCAGCGTTAAACCAAGTGCAAGATAGACAAAACCAACGCGCTGAGATCACGTTAGCAAATGGGCGTGACGTAAGCTTTGTCATCGAGCGGTGTTTAAACTTAACTGGACTCACTTGTCTGCCCTGGATAAGACTTAAACAAAGTGCTTGTCCAAATCCCTGACTTTCTGCCAACACCGTGGTCATGCGAACCTTCAGCAAATTTTCCCGTTTGTATAAATGAACCATTAAGACGTGCTTCAGAAAATTACCAGCTTCGTCTTATTTTGATAGCGTCATTTTATTCCATGATTTTGTGTCCAGCTGGGAAATGGCATTCAACCATTCGATCATTGATGGATCATGGCATATCGTCGGGCAGTTTTCTCAATTGTTGCCCTGGCTCACTACTTTCCAAAGGATACAACTGATGATGTACGATTAGTATACTTTTGATACATTCTCTAAATGATAGTACTCGTGGAACAAGGTTGCTGCCCGTGCACGCGTGAAGCTCGGCCTTTATCTAGTTATATCTGTACTGTCAGGCAGTTCGGCGTAAATAACGGCACTAGCACTGCGTAAAGACCCAGGCTAGTGGTGGTTGAAGTACATGTGTTTATGCAAGATAAGCTCAGGTAGCTAGACATGAAAATATATTTGTTAGTCAGCGTTGAAATAGCCTCACGCATGTGTAAGGACATGACATACTTGAGGGCCTACTCGACGACCTATGTAAATAACGATTAGCATGCACCAGATTGTCTATTCGAGGTACAATTAGGGGGTCTCAGCTACGTCTGAATATCTTCTTATTATAATTTGAGTAGATCACCCAATGTAAGGTTGAAATAATGAATATATTGATATTTATGAATACACCACGTGCTCGATTAATATTGTGCCTGCTTCGCGTCCAGCTTCAATCCCCCCTGTGCGCTCGTATCCCCTTCTGCCCCTGCCATCCTAGAATCAGTGCAAAAATATGCTGAGACGCCCCCCTGCGATAGCACCTGAAGTGTGGGATAGCTGGCCAGACAGCTTGAAGAAAACAATTGCGGAAACCCCAGAAGTGTATATGGCCCCAGCTAACTCGGATATCGATCCGGCACTTCTCAATAGCTCGAACGGTCCCTCAGCCTCAAGGTGTACTCCTCATGATGCAGATAGGGATGGTCCACACCAGCCGATGCTATCTGCGAACCCATCTGCTGCAAATAACAGCACACGAGGGCACAATATCAGGTGAGTGGGTGTATGCTGCATATATGCCAAAAAAGCTTACCTTCCCCCCTCCAAATCAGTAGTACACGCCTGTCTGAGCATCATCAAGACAGCAGGGCACTTGCATTCGGCTCTCGACAGCAACAGAGAAGGCAGCAGCGTTCGTCCTCTCCTTGCAACAATCGTGGACGTGACAGAAGACACAGGTCGAGGAGTCCAGTGCACAGCCGCCATAGGAATGCATCTTCTCCGTCTACCAGCCGTTCGTCATCTCGAAATGGCCGCTATTCCCGTCATGCATCATCCCCTGCCACAAGAAACTCAACTCCAGCAAATGTTGAAGAGCTCGCTGACATCCTATACAACATGCGTGAAGATCAGCGTGAACACTACAAGCAGACGGACGACCGACTTGCGCACCTTGAGGGCAGTCATCCTGACCATCAGACCAGCAGTACTACTCGTGGCTGCACAACTCAACATTGGGGGGGCTCAAACATCGCTCGAAGGCGAAGGCGAAGAGATGCGTGCGAAGAGGGAAATGATGCAGAGTCACACACAGGTCAATTTGACCATGACGCTGAAGATGTTACAGATGCTCGGGGGAAGCTATCTGCAACTGCTCGGGAGGTGCGAGCAGATCTCAAGGTCAGTACTGGTCTCGCCCATGAACCAAGAAAGAAACTCACCTCACACATAGCGCTTGATATTGACCAAATTCCGTCATGTCTGTAATGTCTCTGAAGGGAAAACGTGGCCAAGCCCTGATGATGAGCGCAAGAATGAAACAACCGGTGAGATTTACCTTACACCGAATTTTGAGGCGACCGTGAACGACGACCATAATCGAGTGATCTTCAAAAAGATTGCGCATCTTGTCTGGGAAGAACTTGGAGTGAGTTTGTGAGCCTTTCGACTACACAATCCCCTCACCTTTCGAACAGAGTACAACCCTTAGCAATTCCATGAGCAACCGCAAGGTTAAATGGAATAAGCAATCATTGTTCACGTTTGCTAAAGACACGTACCGCGGATTCAAGGAGGAGTGGAAAGCACAGAATGACCGCAAGAAGGCCGCAGCTAAGAACACCAACCAGCAAAAGAATCGCTGGAGCCAGCGTCATAAAGAGGTTGGTCGTTAATGACTGCTTTCAAGTAAGAAAAAAAGACTTACGGACTTGAAAAAGAAAGCCGACTGGTTGATGACTGCATGCCCGAAATACTTCGAACTTCATGGCGCAGATCCTATCAATATCATCCACGTGGATCATATGTCTGATGAGGCATCTGGACCTGAAGACGATGGTGAATCAGTCGACAAGTGGAGAATCAAGATGGGAAAGGAAAAGGGCTTTCCGG